GAAATGGAAACATCAAATGGATGCTGGAAAATACGAAGAGTTACAGCAACATTTCAGAGTGAGAGTTTCTGCGTGCTATCAAGAAACATTTGCCGGAAATTTGGGAACGAAATACTCAAAGAATTTTACAGTGATTGGAAGTATTGGATACAATTTGGACACACTGCTCCAGGTTGCTAAAGATTTGAATCTGTCCATTGTGGTGTGCGAGCGTTTGCACGATCGATGTGATCATTTTCAAACGCGTTATGTGGATACAAAATCATTGGTTGTGGAGAATTGCTATTCAAAACCTTGGCTTGTGCAAGAGAGTGGTGATGGAGTGCAAACTGCAGAAAAATCAGACATTGTGACTCATCGTGAGACTTGTGTCTATGAAATTGGGCAATCGACACAGAATGTTGAGAATGAGTGGATGTATGAATTGGCCGATCAAGAAAAGAAAGGCAAGTGGAATTTGTACAATCAAGCAGTGCAATACTATTTTGCAAAAGACTATGAGATGGCTCTCCAATTGTTGGTTCGATTTAAGGAGAGTCTGCAACATGATGATCATGGCGGTGAGGAGATGGATTTACCAACGGAGAGATTGATTCAGAAATGTCAAAGGATGGCGCATGCTCCAAAAACAATCACAGAATAATGAAGTGGAGTGCCTCATTGAATCATGAGGGAGATGGGTTTGTGAGAAAGGTTTGAGAGTATATTGAGGTGAATAAAAAGTCCACTGAGTGGCGGAACCTTAATTTTTGTTTTGATAGCAAAAGACGCGAATGGGATCAATCCAACAAATCGAGAAATTAAACAAGAGCCGTTTTGTAATCACTCCGTTCCCAAATTGGCCCATTGAAACAAGAAGTTGGGTGGGCCATTCCGTCTCCGCCGACTTACGGTTAAAACAGGTGATGAAAAGAACGTTGGATTTATTTTTAATGCTTTTCAAACCGGATCTTCAATCTCGCATGACAATTGGCAAGACAAAATCACCTCCTGTTGTAAACTTGAAACTCCGGAGTTGGGTCTTTTTTTATTCTT